GTGTGTGTGTGTGTGTGTGTGTGTGTGTGTGTGTGTGTGTGTGTGTGTGGTGTAGTTTATGTACCTATATAAAATCTAGGATCTTTGGAAGGAAAACATGTTTTTGAGTGGAGCATATGGATCACATTTCCTTATGCATTCATCTGTTGGTAGATTCCTAGGCAATTGTGACTGGTGTTGCAACAAGTATAGGTGTGCAAGGATCTTGGTGATATCTTGGCTTGGCTCCTTCGGCAGATACCCAAGTGTGAGAATGCTGAGGTAGTTTGCTTTCATTGTTGAGGACCCTCCTTACTGGTTCCTCGGTGGCTGAGTAACGTACATCCCCCTGCGTGTATTAAGGTCCCTTCGCTTGTCATCCTCTCCAGCATTTGTTACTTGTCACGACTGCCACCCTCTCCCTTTGTATTTTATCTTTTGGGAACTTGTTCATTTCATAAAGCTGTCGTGATGTTTTAGAGTAGAAACTCCTGATCTTGTAGTAATTGCTTCTAGTAAGAAAGATGAAAGTTTCAGAAAATTTTTAAGTTTAAACTTTCAGCCATCTAAATGACTCTGGATACCATATTTAGTCTATTAGTCATGGGAGTGGTGTAGAACAAGGAGAAGGAAATGTGCTGAAATCAGAATGTCTGTTTGGAACTGCAGCTCTCACTCTTAGCTCTGCAGTCCTGAGCAAGATTGTCATATGTATCAGTGGCCTTACCCATTCCTTAAAGGGGGCACTATAGCATACCAAAGCCCCCAGAATCTGCATTTTTAATACTGTGTCTCCTCAGTTATTCCTGGTATTTCTATGTTATTTTCCAGTAGCAGAATTCTGCTTAAAAGTTTTTCTTTTATCTCTAATAAAGATAATGGAATTCTGTGCTGGAAAAGGCAGTGTGGGTGTCTACAGCCTTTTTCAGATTCTTCCTTGGTAGATCACTTTTCAAAAATGCACTTACTGAGATTTTTCATATGTTACTTGTTCCACTTAGATTATAACTTTAAATTGTACATCTCTGAGAGGTTTTATAATGAGGCCCAAGGGGATCTCTCTTGAAGAGAGCCTTGAGTGAGCCTTCTAATGGTATTAGCACAACTACATTCGTACTTTAAGTTTCTAGAGACTGCTCTACATTCTTAACAAAACTGAAGCCAAGTTCTCAGAGAAGTTTTAGCTCTTTTCCTATATCTCATTCATCCTTTAAGATGTGCAGAGACTATGGTATGTCATGAAAAGTGTTTGGAGGTCATCACTACCTCCTTCTTTCTTCATGTATGAAATCAAGGCAGAAATATCCAGACACTTGCAATGTGCTTCCCCTCCTGCTATGTTTGTGCAGGTCCGATTCCCATCCCACTTTAGCTCCGATCTCAAGGACCTTCTGCGGAACTTGCTCCAGGTGGATCTGACCAAACGATTCGGAAACCTGAAGAATGGTGTGAGTGACATAAAGACCCACAAGTGGTTTGCCACGACTGACTGGATTGCTATTTACCAGAGAAAGGTACGGCCCTATTCGTGACCTAAAGCCTTTGAAAGGTGTGCTTGAAGTCATGAAGCAGAGATACTTTCATCTTAAGCACTTTTATAATTATTTTACCATTAAGCTAATCCCCTGCGGGATCTCAAAGTGCCTTCTCTAAATACAAGACAAAACCTGTATGGTTGCCCTAGTATGTTTTTCCCGTTCATACTAACTCTACCCAAAACTGTGGAAATTGGATTTTAGATAGTATTCTACAAGTTGCATTCAAAATTGGTACAAACCACATTTAAAAGATAATGTGGAAATGAATACAACTCAGAATCAGCGCATAGCCAGACCGACACTGAATCAGCTTAAATTCTGGGATGTTTTCACTTTTGTTTTAGCGTTGCTGTGGACATTTAGCAGGGTGGCAGCTTTTTTCCTGGGGTTTTCCCAGAAAGATCCAGCCTTTTCACACGCTAGGCCAGCCTGCATGTCTGCCTCTCCACTCCTGGAGATTTTTCCCGTTTGCTCACTTTCCATAGTCCAGTGAATCCTTAAGAAATAGACGACTTCCCTGTGCTATTTCTCTGAAGCATGTCCTTCCTTGCTGTTTATATGCTCATTCTCATTTTAAACTCATTTTAAACTATTTCATGGGAACAGGAACATTTTATCATCTTTATTTTATAGCCTGTCTCTCAAGAGCCGCTGGGACATGCACTGCGCATGTTGCCACATTCTTCAATGAGCACCCGTCTTCCTACAGATGCAAGTGTCCTCCATTTGAAGCTTCCCTAGAGGCCATTAAACCCATGCTTTGGAGGCAGTCAAAACAAATTACCTGAAATTACTAGATTTTTGTCTTTTAGGAATCATTGATTTACTTAGCATCCCTCTAAGTAGTAATTGGGACCCTGTGCTGGCCCTAGGCAGTCTTCAAGGTGATTAGTGAAGTCAGCCTTACTCCTCCAATTTCATCCTCCGAGTTCAAGGATGGGAGGCAGATGAGTCTGTTATGCTAATGACTCTCAAAGGAATCCAGAGAGAGTTCTGCACCTGAGTGGCTAGATGTCTTGTCCTCTTGCTTACTAAAAAGACTCTTCCGTGTTGGAAGTTCAAGCCACATGAACACTAGGTATAAATGTAAATTTAGCTCCTCTCTGACACTAGCATAGCTCATGATTAAATAGAGGGCAACTCTCCTGGCCAGCAGTGTTTTAAGAGACTAGCTGTAGGACCCAGGTCACCCGTGGCAACAACACAATAACAGCAGTTACTTAATGGTAATTACTTCACCGTGGTCATAAGTTGGGAAATTTAAGAAAAGATTTTTCTGTTAACTATATTTCTCCTTTCACTCTTGAATGCTAAGTTAAAAATAACTTGCATGAAGTGTATATATTTAGCTTTTCCCCTCCCCACCCCCACAAAAGCCACAGCTTCTGCCTTTTCAGAGGCTTGCCACATTTCATATGAACAACCACAAAGCACAGTCCCTGAGGGAAAAGAATTTAACGCTCTGTTCCATATTAAAAGCAGTTTTTCTAATTCATTAAAATTTTAAAAGATTATAAAAACAAAGTTATAAAAGAATTTTAAAACTCAGCTAAGAGAAAGCTTAGCAAGACTGAACAGTGTGAGGGCAGTACAGTTGCCATGCCCTGCGAGACCCCAAAGCTCGAGCCAAGCTCAAGGGTTGTGGCTGTGGGCACCATTAGCTCAGCACGCATTACGTAGTCACAAGTCAGGACGATGGTACTAAAATAGACTTTCCACTCCTAAAGCGTGCTGAAGCATCCAGATTTGCCCACATGAAGACAGTTCTTCATGGTTAATAAAAGGAATTCTTATCAGTCTTTGAAAAAGAAAATTCATGGCTGTTTATATTTTGTTTTTCATTTTACTGCTTAAAAAAAGTTATCCCAAATAGGGTAACTGCTTTAAATATCAGTGCTACCACAAAGCTTGCATCTTTGATCCCAGGTTCACCAGGTTCAAATCCCAGCATGTTACCACTTTACAATCTGCCCTTCTTCTTTTCTGGGTTTTGTCAGGGTTGTTGATTTGTTTGAGATAGAGTCTCTCTTTGTAATCAAGTTGGTGTGGAACTATACATGATTAAATGAAGGATTATAGGTGTGATATATCACATTTGAGGAATTGTAGGTATGAGCCACAGTACTTTTTTAAAAAGCTTTTAAAAAAACTTCTTTTAACATTATTATTAAAAGGAAGGTACAGAGTTGAATACCATGAAACACTCAGATTTTACTTTTTTAACTTGTATCTTTGAACATTTGTGAGAGGGAAAGGCTGTTTCAACAGAAAGGAGAGAAGAGAGAAAGGGAGTGAGAGAGAAAGAAGAGGAGAAACAGTCAGGTAGACAGACAGACCCTGAACTCTGGACCTGGGTAGATTGTGAGTCTGAGTCAGATCAATTGTCCATTACAGTATGATCTTGAGCACATTGTTCAAACTATGTCAACATAAGCTTTATTACTCTTAAAGTACAGGTTAAAATAGAGAATGCAACAGGAGGCACAGAGTGTTGAGAAAAACTAGGTAGGTAAGTCCAGGCTCCAATTATAGTCAGGTAATTTGGTGAGGAAACGTGGGCTCCACCCACTCCCAGACATGACTTCTGTAGATACTGGTGTCTTCCCACTCCTTTCCTCATTCCCCATCACTGCAGCCTCTTTTTTTTTTTTTGCCTCCTCCCCTTCTTCCTCCTTTTTGTTCCTAAGACAGAGTTTCTCTTTGTAGCCTTGGCAATCCTGGACTTGCTTTGTAGACCAGGCTAGCCTCAAACTTACAGAAAGCTGCCTGCTTCTGCTTCCCAGAATACCTGGATTAAAGGCGTGCACTACCAAGCCCAGCTGGCACATGTCTTTAATCCTGCACATGGGAGGCAGAGGGAGGCAGATTTTAAAGAGTTCTGGTATATTTTTAATCTTTCCATACTAATAGTAAAAATGTTCTGCTGGTGCTCAGTAAGCACATACTAATCTATCCATACTACACAGTGAAATAGTAATAATCTTTCTAAGACTGTAATAGAACTGAGTTGCCACTGCTCATCTAGAGTCCATGTGTTTCAGAAAGGGCTTGACTCATCCCAAATGGTAAACTGCTAACTACCCAGACAGAGCAGCTGGAAGCCAGGTCATCCTGTGAGGCCTATTGGTGGACAGCTACATCTCAGTTATCAGTGAAGCAGGGGTGAGGAGCGGCAATGGTCTCAAAGAATAATCAGGGCCTTAATGTAGACATTGTACACACAGCAGTGTAAAATTAAGACAGGTAATTTAAATAGTTCACAGCCGTTTATTCCCTGGCAAGTGTTTATGAGCAATGAAATAGCTACATACACCTAGTAGAAAGAAAAAAGGCCCAGACTAAAGAAGTGGCCCGGACAATTCAGACTGCAAATCACTCTCCAGAGAAGGTCTGATTCTAAACCACTATCTGGCTAGAAATGAAGAATTGTCTGCTTGGCTCAGTCTGCACTGGATAAGATGGCAGACCAAGCACACAGTGCAAGGAAACCAACTTGGAAACAAGATAATATTAGAATCTCTGCATATACTTATTTGTCACCTTGTTCTTTTTAAATATCTTTAATTTTCATGTATATGTCTTATCTGTAACCTATTCTATATTGCGATAGTCCTGCATGGGAACAATTTATCAACAGCTATCCATGTAATGATGAGGTATACCAAAAAATATGTAACCAGACCACTGTTGTATATGGAAGAGAAAGCCCTGGAGAGTTCAGTATCTGCTTCATCATTTGTTAGCGATAGGAATTTGGTTAACTGTCCTGTAAGCTTTAAGACAGGAATGGGAATGTCTGCCTTGGCTTCCCTGCAGAGTGTGAAGTAGACGTGACGGTGGAACAATTGTGTGACTATAAATCCATAGCTGTGTGTAAATTGCAGCAATCATTAAGATTATACAGGAAGACTTAATTTTCATCATCAAAATAATAAAAATGTTTGGAATTTGACAGTTCTCAGATATTCTGAGGATATTCTCAGATATTCTGAGAGATGTTCCCACCTTAGACTTTTCTTAGTCAGTTGTTTTAAGTAAACATGGGAATTAGAAAAGAGATTAACTTCAGAAGAAATGATATTAAAAAAATAAATGAAGGCTTTGGAAATAAATTGATAAAAATAAAATTAATGGAGACTGGTTTTCTAAGCTCAGAGCCAGCATTTTGATTCTGGTCGCTGATTAACCTGGAACCTGCATTAATATTTTGTTGTAGTTCTCAGGAGAAAATGTGAAATTCTAGCTAACTTCTAATGGATTTTTGTTCAAGAACTTACTGCATTTAAAGATGCCAGTGAAATAACTTGCTGGGAAGTCCTTGTTCTTAGTGTATGGAAGTCTCTGGGGAGTTGTTCTTCTTCTTATTTTCCTCTTGCTTCATAGGTTGAGGCTCCATTCATACCAAAGTTCAGAGGCTCTGGAGATACCAGCAACTTTGATGACTACGAAGAAGAAGAAATCCGTGTCTCTATAACAGAAAAATGTGCAAAAGAATTTTGTGAATTTTAGGGAGGAAAAACCTTGCCTCAAGCTCACACTCAGTCTTTGCACGCTGTGGAGGTGGAAGGTGGAGCCGAGACCTGCTTGTTGAAGTGGTTTCCAGGTCCCTTCATTCCAGCAGCTGAGTGAGGTCTTCATTGCGTCATCAGTGTGTACTCTGCAACCGCCTGTGTACCGAGGCACCGCTCCACAAGCATCTTCTGTGCCGTGACACAGTGTACACCACTTTCCTACTGTTCTGGTTGTTTTTCTCCACCCTTCTACATCCTTCTCATTAACTTCTCTGACCAGTGCTCCATTTTCCTTTCTTGGTGTTTCAGATGGGCAGGGTTACGGCTGTGTGATACTTACAAGGAAAGCTACATGTTGCTTTTTGTAGTTTTGAGCGATATTATTGCTGACCAGTGGCTTGAAGATAAACTCTCCAATGATTTTTTTTTTTTTTTTTTTTTTTTAGTAGCTCGGACTCAGTTTTGCCAAAACTCTTAATGATTTTTGAAGATGGAATGTTTTGTCACCAAGGGAATTTGCATAAGTGACAATTCTAACTCTTCAGGGGTCACTGATGTCGCGGCTAAACTGGCCATGTGGATTCCAGGCCCAGAGGCTTCTTTTCCTTTGCCTTTCAATATTCTCTGTGAGACATTAAGTGACCAGACAGATGCCTCATTTGTCAAGAAAAGTGAGGGATGTGGCTCCACGCCCCAGCTATCTCCCTTGGTACCAACATGTCTGTGGGTTAGAAGAGGGTTCTAAGGTTTCTAAGCCTTCGCTCTTCCATGCCGGGCTTCAGCCAGTATTTTAGAAAAGCATGACTGATAAGGTGACACATTGTGAAATTTCTCAGATAGTCCTCATCGTCAGTTTCTTAAGGGAAACGAGCAAATGAAAGGAAACATGGATTTGGATAAATACTAAGTCAACGAGAGCCTTGGTCCCTGCTTACAGCTTAGAGACACTCTCCAGGAAGTGCAGTTTTCTGTTTGCTTTGGTTCGTAACAGGGAAGAACAAAGCAGTTGCTGCTGCTCCCTCTTCTGAAGTGAGAGCAGGAGGGCACTGTTGCAGCTTCAACTCTCCTCCCTGCCCCGGCAGTGCAGGAAGGAGGCTAAGAAACTGCCATGTTCCGATTTTAATTTAATTTGAGGTGTGATATCTTTAAATATGTCAGAATTTCTAACCTCTTTTTTTCTTCATAGAGTATATGATCATGCAGATACAATTTTAATATTTGTGTTTCCTTAATTTTTTCTACTTTTTGCCAATTGACTTAACAATGTTGCCATCATGAGGGAATTTCAAGCACTCTTGCACATTTAGTTCAGTGTTTCTTTGTGAATAAATGGCTTAGCTTTTTCTTTTTACTATTTTTTTTTCATTACTTTTAATTTGTCCATCTCATTTTATCTCTGTATCAGTGACCTACCTTAAATAATCAACTCACCCAAATAGTTTAAACTATTTCATTTCGTGATCAATCTATAAGCATATAAGGTTGTTTTAAGTCAAACAAACCCTAGTGTATATAGAACCTTTCTATCTGCCTCCTTCCTGGTGCAGGTAGGTCATTGACACCACTCCTGTTCATGCACCCACACACCCTCACTAAACCCTTGAAGACATTGAAGAGTCCTATCTGAGACCTGATCTCCACCTATCTGCATGTCTTTTGGTTGTCAAGTGTTTCTGCATGGTAATGTCCCACAATAGCAAACAACTATTTCAGTTGCTCCACCTGTATTTAAAATGTGCAAGAAACATTGAAATACTCTGCTGTAGCAAGTTTTATGTAACAAAGATATATCATCGTGTTAATAAATTAAAAGCATCATTTGTATAAAATACATTATTTAGGGTTTTTTTTTTGTATTTCATTTAGACCCAAGAACATGCTAATCATTGTGTTCTATGTATGCTACAAATTCTCTGGTAGCATTGTTGTATATTATTGTAAAATTATTTCAATAAATCATGGGGGTGACAATTTGATTATTATAATTTAGTTTTCCAAAATTGAACAGATTTCTATGAATCCTAACGTATTTTTTTCTATGAAATTATTAGTACCCAGCTGGACTCTACCGGGTAGATGACCCCCAGGCGTGCATCAGCATCTGGGGGCGTCTGAGCCCTTCCATTTTACTGTCTCTGTTTTAAGTACATGAGCAAACTGTCAGGTGTGTCAGAGGGGTCTATTTCTGGCTAATCAAGTACACTAAATTGGAATATTTTTAACATACCTAAAATTCCCATTTTTAGCCACAGTGTAGCTGAAAAGATTTTCTTTGAAAACTTGAAATACTAAGTCAGTGGCAAAAGCAGTATTTTACTCCAATTATATTTCATAAAACAGAAGAAATGGTGTTTTTGCCCAGTAAATGAAGAGATGGCATTGTGAAGGAAGGAGCCCTAGACTGACAGTGAAGCCTACCAGAGGTATCCCTGTGGACAGAGGGCTAGGACAGGTTCTTCCTGGGATCCCTCTGCTTTCCTGTTAGGTCAAGGTTCCCTCCTTATCAAATATTCTCGAGGGCATCACACTTTGAAGAAGTTACTGTATAGGGACACATCTGTGCATTCTTGCCTCTGACAACGTTCTGAAAATTCTTTGGCCATCATAAAGTCCTTGTCTCCCATTCCTTACTCCCTCACTGATGCGAAATATGCACTTGATATCAAACCGTCAGCCTACCAAAAAAGATGCTGTGGCTTATGGGTATTGCTGTCTTGTTCTTGGTATGTTTCTGTACCGATTGCCCTTTGGTCTAAAAACAAAAACAAAAACAAAAAACAACAATGCTCATTATAAGCCTAAAAAAATGGATGATTATCCTTTTCCACTGACTGTTTTTCTTTCCTTTGCTTGTTGTAAGAATCAAATGGAATAATGTATGTAAAAGCACCTTGTAAACTGTAAGCTTTTGATGTAAGATGTAAGGTGTGTTGTTATTTCATAAACTACTTCTTTGTTTAGAGTGGAATTTCCTATGCACTACTATAGCTAGGAAATGCTGAAAATGTGTTTTTTAATTCATCAGTAACCACAAAATTAAAGTATCTTCAAAGGATAAGAGCCGTTGAGTCATATGTCCAATGTCCTTCGTTCTGGACTTTTCTCTGCTGATATAAGAAATGGTTGTGGATTCCTGACTTTCAGATAGGTGGGGTGATATTTGGGGCTGAGAGCTGAGCAATAAAAGAGTGAATATTAGCAGTCCATTCTAATTAGACTTTTACTGCAACACTACCGAGTGCAGCCCGGCATTGCTAAGAGCTTCTTCCTCATTTTGCTTCAGATTACTCCTAACACGATGAAAGCCAGCAAAGTAAGTTAATGTAGCTTACGGTAATGTTATTAGTTTGGCGACGCAGGAGCCCTCATTCTCACTGTGCAGTGAACTAAAAGCATATGCTTTGTTCTTCAGGGCTACTTCGGAGCTCGCCTCTGCCTTTATGGTTAAACTATCTAGTGTGAATGGCTATGGTGGCAGTTTTCCCTGAGAGATCATCAGTTTTCAATAATTATTTTAAAAGCTTACAATTTTGTTTGATGGTCTTTACAAACATTTACGGATATTGATACACTTTATAACATGATTCTTACTGTTTCTAGTGCTAAATTTTTAGTACTTAATATAAATCCCCATTCTCATTTTTTTTAATAAAACTCTGGGTATGTCTTTATTTTTTATTATTATTTGAGGTCCAATTAACAATAAAATTTCCCTTTTGGACAAATGGTGGATGTGAAGATAAATGTTTTCATTTTTAGCTTTTCTGGATATATGCTCAGTAGTCTTTGTGCTTAGCTCAAGTTAAATTTTGATATGAACAGAATTGACATGTTACCCATGCATGATGATGCACACATGAAATCCCAGCATTTAAGAGGCTGGAATGGGAGGATCATGATTTTGAGACTAGCCTGGATATGAAAGAGAGGCCTCATCTTACAAAAGAAATGTGTGTGTGTGTTACATCTATCTGAATCCTGATTCCTAGTACCTCAGAATATAATCATAGTTGGAAGAAAGGTTTGGGGAGTGATTAGTGTAAAAACTAGGTTTTATGGATGGTACCCAGTTAGGTAAGACTGATGACTTTATGAGAAATAAGGACACTAGCACCCCAAAGGAAGACCGGATGAAGACAGCATGGGCAGAAGATAGCATGGGAGCCACGAAGAGCCATCTCCACAGTAGTCAGTTCTGCCAGATCTTGATCGTGGACTTCCAGACTCCAGAAGTGCAAGCAGTGTGAGCCAGCGAGCGGTCTGCAGTGCTCTCTTAGCAAATTAAAGCACCCACAGAACTGCACGTGTCCACACTCTGAAAGGTTTGTGCCAGCCACCCAGATGGCTTGGCACTTAGCCAGAATTGAACTGGCATCTTGAAGAGGTGGGGAAAGAGGTGTACCTGTGAAGCTCAAGGCATCGTTTCTCCTGTTTCTGTCCTTGCTTGGAACACAGAGTAGCTATTGGGACGCTGAAAGTTGGAGAAAACATGGTTCACTCAAATCACTATTAACCCCCTGACAGATTTTCTCTCAGCTTTAAGCTAACCTCTTAGAGCAGTTCAAATTGAACATGAAAAGGCACAGCAAGTTTCTTCCATCAAACTTAGAGTTGGCTCACCCATTAACAGCGATGTTAGCTGTAGTGCTAGCTGGATCTTTCTTCCCTGTTTTTTTCCTCAGGAGAAGGGTAGTACCCAGTGGATGGTGACCTTATGCTATTAGCTTTCTGTTGCTGTTCTAACAGATCTTCATAACCTGAGTGACTTTAAACTAATAAATGTCTTACCCCAGAGCTGCCTGTCATCCACAGTGTGGTTCACTGGGCTAACGCCATAAGGCTGGTGGTACAGCTCAGGTGTTGCTCTCTACTGGGTATACAGGGCCCAAAGCTTTGTCCCCAGCTCCAAGAATACTGCCTTGGGATCATTTGAGGCCCAGCCAGCTAATCCAGGCTCATGTCCCATTTTGAGACCAGCTGATGAATCTCCTTAAGTCTGTCCACTGCTGTAAGTCTCTTTAAAAGGATAAGTCTAGAAAATCAGTAAATTTTTGTAAGGTTTTCTGATTTTATTTTGAACTGTGTCTGTGTTCCTGTGGAGGGTGAAATCAGGTAAGTGTAGGGGCCTGTGGAGGTGCCAGGAGGACATCAGGTCCATGGTTCTGGAGTTAGAGTCATTGAGCACTGTCTTGGAAGTGCTGGAAACCAAATGTGAGTTCTTTGCCAGAGCAGCAAGTGCTCTTAACTAACAAGTCATCTCTCCAGCCCCTAGGAAGAAGATTAAAAATGGAAAAATATGAATAAGCATGGCAATTTCAACATAAGACGTTATCTTCATTGTTCTAAAGGAGGCAATAGAAGAAGTGGCAATGAAGAACTACAGAAGAAACACCCTCAAAATAAAGGCTCAACTCTGAATCAAATGTCTATA